AGCGTGAATTATCATAATTCACTCCGTGATATATGGGTACTATATGCTTTTAGTTAGGAGGTAGAATATTGATTTATTATTAAGTGGTCGTGGAAAAAACTTTTTATTATATATTTCACTTTAAGTGGATAATTGGGACCTGTCCATACACCAAAAATACATCCTTTTCGTACTGTAATATGTAATTGGCCTTGTATTTGATAATACCCATTGATGGTGGATATTAGTGTCAAAATTATTGGTGTCTTTATTAAAAATCCAAAAGGGTATTTTTTTCAATTTAATTGCCTCTTCTACCTGCATTTGATATGCAGCGTATGGACATTTTATTTCAACCACTAATTCATCTCCTACAATGCCGTTTGGAGTAGCATCTACAAATTTAAACATTATTATTTTGATTTAAAATGAACTAATTTGCAATAAGTTATAGTTGAGATGTGAGTAAAAATGTGAACTGATCGTTACGTACCTAAATATGGATATTTTTTGTCAATAAAAATTCCACAATCTCTAATCACTATATTTTCCTGCTCTTGAAGTTGCAAAAGTGCCGTTTTTTCATATTTTGGCCATGAGAAATAGCAGCATTGACTGGTAGTTGGTAAATAATCCTTTTGACTAAAGGCTCACATAAAGTAATAATTCATCTAGTACACACTGCTTTAAAATGTGAGGCCGTAATCATTTTTCTACGAATTTCAAGCCAAACCCTGCTATCCGCCTGTGACATAGTTTGTTCCTAAATTACATTTCTCTTAACGTCAGATGAAGGGAATTCGTTTAAAAATTGAAGTTTTTTTACTTCATAAATATCTTGATCTAAATCCTTTTTGGTACAATTTTCTCCATAATCTAAATCAGTTTTATTGGTTTTTGCAGAGTAATTTCTTTTTAATTTGCGATTGGATTTAGATTTTATTGCCAATTGTCGCCTTTTTTTTTTCAATTCAGTTATTAACATGGATTGGTTAGTACGGTTTAAAGTTTTTTTCAATTCTGAATTCCCTGATTTCGAATTATATGATACAACTGCTGCAAAACATCTACTTTGGTAAGAGCGCCCTCTGGAATAATTGATTCTTTTGCCACCTACAAACTTAGCGACTGTGGCATAAAATTGTTCCACAATATTACTATCAACATCATGTAATAGAAGTCTTGTAAAAAATTCAGGTTTAGATCTGAAATTGGTTATTTCGTTTTTGGTTTCATCTATATGTTTCTGACAAAAATAAATATCGCAGTTTTTATGATCACCAAAAACGTGTCTATGTCTTTCTTTAAAAGCAAAACGTTATTAATAGTGCTAAGACTATTTTCTTTTTTATAAGAAACTGCCTTCGTAACAGATGTTCTTAAACGAAGAATGTTTTGACTAACTAATTTTCTTAGTTTTATTGGAAAATTCACAAATAACTTTCTCTTTTAGGCTCAAAATTTTTCTAAATACGTTCAAATCTTCAATTCACCGGTATAACTAAATAAATCGCCGATCCATTTCCTATGATAGGGGAAATGTGGCTCGACGACCCGTTCTTGGAATTTTGAAAGTAGGGGTATAATAGGAGTAATATGCCGACAAATTAGTTCTCATGAACGGAGCAATAACTCTTAAGTATATAATAAAAATGTTTTTATTTGTTTTTATTCTTTGTGTACTTTCTAATTTGGGTAGAAAAAAGTTTATTTTTCGTTTCTTATATACTTGTTTTTTTTTTTATTTACTACACTGCAAATTATTTATTTATTTATTTACGGGTCAGAGCCCATTAAAACAATACAATTACAGATAATACATATTACATACATTAAATAGTAATAAAATCCTAAATAATAATAATAAATTAATTTAAATACATAAATATTAAAAACAATTAAAAATTACTCCTCACATATACATAAATGGATAGAAAAATCTGATGGAGAAGTAATCCATTCTACATTTAGTCTGTTAGCAGATCTTGTTGCTCTAGGAATAAAAGAGTGAGAACCATAATTTGTTCTATGAAAAGGTTGAGAGAATGTATTAATATTCCTAGTTACTCTAGATGGCACAAAAAATCCAATTTGGGATAACAAGTATGGCCAATCGGCAGATGAGTTAATAATGTTAAACAATATTTTAAGATCCCTTTGGTTTCTTCTGCTCAGAAGGGTCTCAAGATGACAAAGTGTGTGTAATTCGTCATAATTGTATCTGAAGTTGACCGGGACAATACCCGATTTAAATGCAACAATGCGTAAAAATTTTCTTTGAACCTGTTCTATATTATGGATTAGATATACATAAAAAGGATTCCATACAGAAGAAGCATATTCAATATAAGGTCTAACTAAGGCACAATAAAGAATCTTTAAACACATCACATTATGAAAATCAGAAGTAGTTCTTCTAAGGAAACCCAACATTCTTAATGCTTTATTAACTGAGGCTGTTATATGAGTTTGAAAAGAAAGGGTGGAGTCTAATATCACACCCAAATCTTTTACCTCTGTAATAGTATCCAGTGTTATGTCATTGATTTTATAGATATATTCAATAGGACTATGTTTTCTGTTGAAATTGAATGCATGACATTTACTTGTATTTAATTCCATTCCATTAGTACTACACCATTGGACCAAGTTATCCAAGTCTTTTTGAAGGCAAATACAATCACGTAAGGAATTTACACGCATGAATAATTTTAAATCATCAGCAAAGCAAAGGAACTGAGAATTCTTAAAACAATTTTGGATGTCATTGTTATATATATTAAAAAGTAGAGGTCCCAAATGTGAACCTTGAGGGACACCAGATGTAGTGGTAAAGCCAGAGGATAAGAAACCAGAAACACGAACAATTTGAATGCGGTTTGTTATAAAGCATTCGATCCATTTCAGAAAATTACCACCAATGCCAATGTTACTAAGCTTTCCAATCAATCAATTGTGGTTAACTCTGTCGAATGCCTTTGAAAAATCAGTGTATATAGCATGAACTTGATCATTAGAATCCAAGGCATTCGATAAGTAATCAACATAAGACAACAAGTTAAGTTCAGTGAACTTTTTGGAGCGGAAACCAAACTGCTGATCTATGATGAAAGGATCAAGCAGTTTCGATAAATACTTTGTAATAATACTATCAAAGAGTTTAGGAATCATACTTTGAATGCATATTGGCCTGTAATTAGTTACATTTGATTTGTCGCTTGATTTGTAAATCGGTACAGTAAAACTTGATTTCCAGTAATTAGGAAACATTCTATTATGAAGTGAAACATTAAAGATAATATGCAGTGGACGGGATATAACATAACAACAAGTTTTCAATAAGGAAGGTGGCAAGCCATCAGGACCTGATCCCTTACTCATATCTAAACAGCTCAGATGTTCAAATATTTCTAAAATAGATATTTGATAATTTGCAACATTTAAACGGGTTGAATATGGTTTATCATAATTATGGCATGGTTGATTGCTATAGACTGAGCTAAAGTAATCCTGAAACATATTAGCTAAATCTGTACCCATAGAGCATCTAGTGTTGTTATAGTACATTTCGTTGGGTAACTCATTACTTTTTCTTTTTGAATTGACAAAATTCCAAAATGTTTTAATATCATTACCAACAGATGATTCAGTAAGTTTAATGTAATCATTGTAATTCTGTTTAGACTTAAGTTTACATTGAGAGCGCAAGTTAGAGAATACCATGTAGTCGTTAGAAGATCCACTAAATTTAAATCTAAGGTGTGCCTCCTTCTTTAAAATTATGAGATTTTTCAATTCAGGTGAAAACTATCTGGGAAATCGTCGAATGGATAATTTTTTCAATGGTACAAAGGAATGAATGACAGAATACACAAAATCGTAAAAAATATTTACCATTTCATCAAGTGATTTATTTAAGAATAGTGAATCCCACTGAATTAATCCCAGATGATGTTCAATGGATCGAAAATCTGCGAATTTGTAATCATAGTAATACTCATTAGGTACATGTGACGAGTTACAATAATTTACAGCAAGGTTCAAGTGTATAAGTAATGGGGGATGATATTTATCGACATTAATTAGAGCATCACTAGCGAGAGAGGTGGTTGTTGAAGATTGATAAGAAAAAACTAAATCTAAAGTAGTATTGTAATCATTCCGAACTGCATTGTTCTGAAAGAAGTTGTGAAAAGCACACATATTGGAGATAGTATTAATCGCAGCAGTTTCATCAGCTCTAGTTCCAGGTCCCAAGGAAGAGGTAGCAGTTGAGCATAGATTATTTGACATCCATATGGCCTTAGGTAAATTGAAGTCGCCCAAAATGCAAAATTGTGCATGAGGATACATCTCTGACAAATTATCTAAGTTTTCAGGTAAATTATAATCATTTCCCCCTGTATTAAAGTCTACTGTTCAAATCTACGGTTTTTTTTACCCATACTGTTCCAAAATCTGGCAACGCTGCCTAGATCGAAAGAAATTTCCAACCTAATCACCCCCAAAAAGAATCGATGCCCAAGGAGAGTGACCTCGAGTGCGACACTCCGAGGACAGTGACCCCGAGACAAATTCAGAAGTGTCGGCAGAAAGTGTCGTCTTGACGACACTTCTCGTGTCGCGCCGTGCGAAATGTGTTTCATATAATTGTATGCATTTTTGATGTGAAGCGACACTTCTCGGTCACGTCGGCGGTCGTATGTCGCGTCGGCGGTCGTCTGTCGCGCCTACCGAAATGGTACCTTTAGAGTAAAATACAGCTAGAAATAGAATTTAGGTAAATTAAAATAAAATAAAGCAAAGATCAAATTTTGTTCGGGCGCTTATGTCGGGGGCGTATATGACGGGAAGCGCATTTGTCGGGGCGGTTTTGTCGGGGCGCATTTGACGGGTCACCCATTTAGACACATAACATTATCAAGTTCTGTCAGAGTTTATAGGCCTATACATTTTAATAATTGATGCAACCGATTGTAAGTCTTGTATAAATATATTTCAATTAAAAAAAATTTAGGTACCTCTTTATTTATGACTCCATCATCCCAAATCACTAAATAAGTATGTAAAAGCTTGTAGGGAATAAAATTAAGTTCCACATTTAAGCAGCTTTGAGCCACATTTTCAATATTAAATTCTTCAGTATCTTCTCCAGAATAGATATTCAAATAAGTGTCAAGACGACCTTCAGAATCACTACTATTCTAAAAAAAAAACACATTTTTACTTTCACTAAATTTCAATTATTTTATGTCGATACCTTTATTATAGTGATTCCTATTATGATTTCATTACTACTACAATTCTTGCTAAATGCGTCCATAGATATAATTTCAGCTCCATCTAAAATAATAATCATAAACAATAAATCCATACAACAAAATTTATAACGCGTTGGTAAAAATCATCATAAAAAATGTAAATAAAATCATGGTAAATTCAAATGTGCAATTTTTAGTAAAGCTAAAAATTGCATTTAAGGACGCCACTTCCGGTTTTTAAATTTGAATTTTAGTTAATCCTTTGCCACGTAGATGTAGCTACAGTCTTTAACCTCCATATTTTGTCAATTATATCGCAAAAATCGTTCGGCAAAATAATATACACAACGGTACTTTTATTTTATGTTCTCAGTTAAGTTGGTCTGTGCGAAGTTTAGTGGCAAACTGTCGTTTTAATAAAGAAATGTTGGAAATGTTAATGCGTGATCGATTCATAATAGGGTTCGAGAAAGGCCCTGTTCAAGATAGACTTTTCGAAGAAGAAATAAATGCAAAGTTTTCTGCAGTAATTACAGTGGGCCCCAGTAACTGGGGCGAAGGACGAGGAAAATACCACTTTAATATTTTAACTAACAATAAGTATTTATTCATCGCTCCAAACGGTACAATTTACAATTGAAGGGCTCAATGCATAAACAAGCCAAGTCCATTTTGAAAAAATATTCAGGAGAGATAAAAAACGTTTCAAAGACAAAATTTTAGATAATGTTTTATTGTGATTATTTCATTCTATGCACAAGGGTATTAATAATTATGTGTTAAATTGGTACTATTAAAATCATGAAAATACACGAAATATTAAGAAAAAATCAATGGACTTGACTGCTTTATGCATAGTATTCCATGTTTTCTTACTCAATGAATGAAGTAAAATAAAATAAAGTATTCAAAATGAAATTTTTTATTGATTCTACAAATTCAGAAAACTAATAGTATCTTTAAATAAAGATTTTATGGAATAATCGCTAAATTCTGACATAGAACTTTGAGTGTTGTCTGGAAGAAAGGTTTTATAGTATTCCTCAATATCCTTGTAGAACCACTGGTCACATTGGGGAACATAATTTTTGTTCATGACATGCTCATATTTATTTTTTTTGAGCTTTCTCCTTTCGGTGTATAATAAGTTTTTATTATTTGGTAATGAAATTTCATTTAACTTCCGCTTGTCCTCTATATTGAAGGTAACAAAAAGAGTGAATGATACTGATTCACTACATTTCAACACTATTTCGCTATCTATTTCTTCATATATCATGATTCTATATTTCGAGATAGTAAACTTCTTGTTTTTTTTTTGATGGATTCTTTACAAAAAAACTGTTGTAAATGAGACTTAAAATCCAAAAGCATATCTTGGGTCACATTAATAACTTTGAAATTCGTGCTGGTGTTTTCAATAATTTCAACATAATCTTTAGGTAAATATATTTTGTCATATTTTCGTTTTTTTTTGTTCAATGGCCCCAAAGCTCCGATCGCAGGGCAAAAAACTGTGCCCTGGTTCGGGGTATCTATACCGTATTAATCTAGTTGCAACCAAATTGTATAAAAATTGTACCAACACATAGTTTTTGTTCTGTGAAGCACAGTTGTCACAAAAAATATATATATCAGTAACTTCTGGAGGAACATAGTTATTGAAAAAGTGTAAGAGAATACTAGCTACGTCATTCTGTCCTTTTGCAGCCACAGTTTTATCATAGACGTAAAAAAAACTTTTTCCTGTGCTTCCCACGTGAATGCAAAAATTGTACACCCACAGTTGGATTTTATAAAAAACTTCCCCACTAGATGAAACAGGGAGGGGTAAGTTCTGCTGAAAGTCGAACGTCAAAACTTCAACCGAAGGATCATTTTTAGCTAAAGATATCTTGTCTTTTATGTCAGTGTAAAAGGTTTCTGCCTTAACAATATGTATTTCCTTTTCCCTTTCTAGTGATTTTTTTTGTTCGTCTGTATCTGCACCATTAATTTTATTTATCAACTTGTCACACTTTTGACAAGTGTCGGATTTTGGCTTTCCAAACGATATTTTAAAGTTTTCCGTGAAGAATCTTCTAAAATATTCATATTTTACAATCGGATTAATATTTTGCTTTCTCTGCAATAACTGATATTGTTCGACTTCATTTTTCTGTAGGTACATTTCGTGCATTTTTGCTATATTCAAAATAGGTGAGAGATAATAGTGGTAAACGTTATCGTTTCTACTATAATGGGACTTGTACTAAGGATAACTGAGAATATGTTGTTGTATCTTTTCATTAGTACCCTCGGGCAGTTGATTGGTTCTCAAAATATGTTTACCTCTTTTATCTGTGGGTGGAGTCATATTTCCCATGGTCAGGTGCTTTTGAAGACTGAGCCTTCTTTATTGATGCCATGTAATGATAAAAATGCTTTTTTACAAATTCTACGGTCTTTTTTATCAATTCGGACCTGTACTAATATGGTTATTTAACTACAACCTTGTTTTTATTAAAGTTAGACCTCCTTACCTTGTAAACAAAAGATGCATTTTTTCCATGCCCATCACCTGAACGTGGTCTCTTTCGTTGTACTTCTATTTTTTCTATTAGTCCATATAAGTAGGCATCCTGCAAATCTTTTGATACCATTGCATAAAAATTACGGAAAATCTCAGTACAGCCTTCGTGTCCGATATTGTCAAAGCACTTGAGCTTACAGTTACAGTTATTTCCAATATTTTGTCCAGGTTTTAATATACCAGCCACGTTTACATAAGGCTCACCTTTGACACGTTTATTTTTCTGGATATTTCTTCTCCATAATGCCTTACGCAAGAGTTTTTTTTTTCCTGTTTGTGGTGTGTTCGAAGCTGTTTGATACCTATTTTCAACTTCATCAGGTTTAATAGGATCTTCATCTAAAAGATTAATAGGATCTTCATCTGAAGAAATTCCTTCAAGTTGAAATCTAAGGTTAGGTTGTTCTTGGGGCGGCAAATAATCTTTGTTCCTGTCTGAATTTGTACTTTCATAGGGATCACTGGCACTTTCACTATCTGATAACATTATTTAAGCTAAATATTTATAAAAAACTATCAGCAAATTTAGAGCTCTGGCAGTCTAAACAATATTCAGTTCAACTTAACATGTGCGTCACACTGGTTATTTGACAGTTCGGCTACAGAGTTAGATCCTATGCATAAACCAGTCAAGTCCCGGACTTGACTGCTTTATGCACAGTCTAGAGAAGTTAGGCAGCCAACTTCACGCCACAGAGCACTTTACTATATAGCTAGACAACTCGTTTATGCACAAGACGATTCAGAATTTAAAACCGTGCAAGAACATATAATAACCCAGTTTGGCCAAAAAATTGGACTTGACTGATTTATGCATTGGACCCCTCAATTATAAGGTTATTATAATATAGGAATTAATGAGATGCACAATTATGTACTTATAGTAAGTACTGGACGTCTAAATAGCACAGATACTCATTTTAGAATATATATAGTGTTATGTTTTCAGTTGGTGTAAGGGAATAAAACTACTACGAGCCCCGTCCAGCTTCAGTTGGCCCACCTGATTAAATATCAGTTATTGCCGTGTATCGAAGGTCATTTGAGTTATAGAGGTAAAATTTTCCACTTTTATTTTTAAAGTAACATTTTAAAAACATTTTGCATAAAAAATAAAATAGTTACAACAACTGGAAATGATTAGGACTTAAAAACTAGAAATAAGGAAATTTATGATTTTTTAAACTCTAAGATATCTTATTCTACCACTGAGTAACGTCCCCTTTATTTTTAATAACTGCTTCAATTCTTCTCGGCATAGTATTTACTAAATCCTGACACTGCGCTGGAGTGAAATTATCCCAAATATTCTGGAGCCTGTGCTTGAGTTCTGGAACAGTTCTGGCAGGATTGGCTCTTAACCGCTTTTTCATTTCATGCCACAAAGTCTCGATAGGCGAAAGGTCCGGACTAGAGGAAACCCATTTTAGAAGTGGTATTTCATGATCTGAAAGCCATTTCATGGATTTTTTGGACGTGTGACAGGCAGCACCGTCTTGCTGAAAGGTGAAGTCATTTCCAGAAATCCTACTCTCTTCCAAAGTAGGCAACAAAGAGTCCTCTAGAATGTCTAAATATTTTTCTGTGTTTACAATTCCGTTAATAAAGTTTAATTTTCCAACCCCTCTAGACGACATTGAACCCCAGACCATTACCGAAGATGGAAATTTAACTTTGCGCTTAAGACAATCAGGATGATAAGTTTCATGTTTCTGGCGGATAACTCTGCTCCGGCTATCACCGACACACACTTCAAATCGCGATTCGTCACTCCAATGTATAATATTCCACCTCTCCATATCCCAATTTCGATGATTTTTAGCCCATTTCAACCTGTCTCGCTTCTGTTTTGGAGTCAGTAACGGTTTTTCTTTAGCCTTTGCAAACGAAAAAGATTATTATCTTTTGAACCTTTAGATTGAACTCAGAAAACTTACCTTGTATGTACCAAATCCTAGTTTTCTGGCTTCTGCATGACATGTACACCTACAACCACGTCTTCCAACGGCCTCACTCCAGAGTACACTCAACTCTCCGTAGTTAGCACGCCTATTAGACTTAATAATTCTGGCTAAAGCTCGTCTATCATTGTCTGTTAATTTGGACTTTTTCACATATCGGGCCTTTTGGGCACCTGAACCGTTTGATTTGTACAATTGAACAATATTTCGAACACTGTATCTGGATAAGCCGAGTAATATTCCAATTTCGCCATTTGATTTTTCAGATTTGTGTAAATTAATGATAATTGATCGAATATTTTCATCAATTGCCTTTCCTCTCCCCATTATTGACAACAAATAGGACTATTAAGTAATTGTTTTACAATCGGAACTTATATCACTGTCATTTCCGTCAAAAAAGTGTTGTTTTCATAGCCACCTTAAGCCTCGTCGTTAGCAATACTTGGGTAATAGAATCATAGAGTTAACAAATTTATCAACTCTATTAATAGAATGAACGCAAGGATACTACTTTTTAACCATGTATTTTTTGTGAGACAGCACTAT